AGGAGGACAACTTCTAGAGACTGATAGTGTCTGGCACCTGGCAGGGTGAAATTCTATGTCCCCAGCTCATCTCCCACTCAGCTAACAGATTGAGATCCTGTTGTAGCTGGTTACAATGACAGTCGTGAGAATTTATGGCTTAATGTTGACATGGGAGTCATAGAACTAGGACTACCACGTGCAGTGAGATGGAAAGAAAAAAAAATGATTGACCTAAAAGGGGGGGGGGTATATCTTAGTAAATGCTGTGAGGCAGGGATTCTTAACCTTTCTTCCAGCGCTGCAGGCCCACTCTGTTTTAAACATCCCATCCTCATCTGTATAAATTATATTTTATAACATTAAAAATAATTGAATAATTTAGTTAACGTAGTTTTATGTCTTTCATTAACTTGTATAAACAAGGTAAAAAATAACCAATACAAGTAATGTCACAACAAAATTTACCAGAAAAACATTTGCTGCTGCTAATCAAAATGCATAAAAACGTATTAATTTTTTAAAAAGCAGCAACTTCTAGCAATGGTAGCAAATACAATCAGTGGTTGGTGTCATCCCCCCCCCCCCGATTGCCCCGGTGTAATTCTTCTTGTTAAACTTAGTCCACAGTAGAACAAATACAAGAACAAAAATAAATTAATTGAATGTCACATTAAACAAAAAGCAAAAAAAAGTATTAATTTTTTAAAAAGCAGCAACTTCTTACAAATGTAGCAAAAAAAAACCGGGGTTGGTGTCATCCCCCCCCCCCCCCCGATTGCCACGGTGTAATTCTTCTTGTTAAACTTAGTCCACAGTAGAACAAATACAAGAACAAAAATAAATTAATTGAATGTCACAAGGTAAGTGTATTTAAGAACTGTGATATGTACTTAGAATGGCCCATTGTTGTCGAATCTTAACTTTATTTCTCAGAATTTAGATAAATATAGCTTCCTGTCACTTAAAAATGTTTCCGTAACACTTCATTCGGCGTTGAAACGTGGTAAAAACGTCTAATAAAAAGGTATATCTAACCCAATTGCTGAAGCATAACCTTGAAATTTTAATAAAACAAGCATTTTGATTGGTTACATGGGTGGAAAATGTATGTGTCATCTGTTATCCTTTTATGAATTTCAGTTAGACCAAGCAGTGTGTGCTCTTTAAATATGCAATTTTTCAGTTTGGTTTCACCCCCCTAGCTACGCCACTGATTACAATTTTCTGGTTTTCCACACCTCAGGGCTGGGGAGGTACTTTAACCCCTGGTTAAGAACCACTTCTAGTAAAATGTTTGTGACACAGGTGAAGTAATTTGATATCCATGAGAGGTGAATTTTTAAGGGTTTGTAAAGGACATTAGCGGACACAGGGACTTTGTATAGGGGGGGGGAGGTTACAGAGATTCATGATGTTATATTTGAGGGGGGTCTAACTTTTTTTGACGATGGGGGAGGGAGGGGTAAAAAATCCTAAAAATTTGCGTGACATCATTTTGGGATGGCCCCTATGCTATATAGCCTATATAAGACAACGCATCCCCTTATTACTAAAATACTGTTTGGGGGACTACTTATTTTGAAATTTAAACTTTGGCACATGACTAATTAATTAAAGCTTCCCCTGACCAATGGTTAAGTAGTTTTTGCACACTGCAAACTTATGAATAAAGCTCTGAGATAGTTACATTATAGTCATTATGCAAGTGGCTATTAATGGTTGCCCATGACAACATTTTGCACACAGAAAATTCTGATCATTTATACTGTGTACTTTATCGGGATTTTAAAGCTCAAATTTAAACAATTTCAGTTTAAATGTTTTCAAAATGCATTCTGAAACATAAGTTATCAGATATTTTGATGTATATAGTGGTAATAATTGAATATTTCATTAGCTATGTATTGGCGTCTTCCGCCATTTAAAAATGGGGCGTGGTCACTAATGCAAAATGGCCTGTGCGACCTTTGTATAATGAGGTCTACTTAGAGGAGAATTGTGAAAATGTTTCATGAGCTAGCGCAATGAAATTTAGCACACATATAACTCAATAAATTAAGCTGACATACACTTAGTATGACAGACATACTTTTAATATTTCAATAAAAAATTTTATGTTGAAAGATGCCTTATATTTACATATGATTTTCCTCACTTAAAGTATAAAGAACAAAAAAATGTATGGGAATGTTGGTCAACATTTCTCCTAATGTGAATGGGCAGAGTCAGACCTTAATTATGGGCCAAAATTAAAATTACACCCACATAAAAAAATTAAAAACTCAAATTCCATTGTGCTGACACCCATTTCCGATAATAATGTTTTAGAAGTGTCCTTAGCGTTGCCGAAGTACCTATATTCATTTTCAATCAATGATCAATCATTCATATTTTTATTCTTTTATTAAAATTAATAATATTCATACTCAAAAATACTTACTTTATGTGTAATAAAAAATTATATTTACTATTACACTATTAGTCCTTTATTAGTATTAGTTATTAAAAAATTAGTAAATACAATGCAGAGGATGATCAAGCTTGCTATGAAACTTATGTACTTGGAATTGGAGTAGACAGACACATTTTTCCAAATGAAGTTATTATGTCAAATATAAAGCTTAAAAAAAAAAAAATTGATACCAAATTTATGGTTGCAGGTCAATTCTTAAGAAGTTATGATTTTTTTGTAGTGAAAAGTGAACCAAAAATCAACTTTCTAGCGTGAATACTTTTTAAGCTATGAATTTTTCAAGTGCGAGTTCATTGTTCATTTTTTTATTATGGCTATGGACTGTGCCACCACATTTTATGACCTGATTCCTCTGAATTATAATTTTATTAAAATTTTTATTTTCATGATTAATGAAAGTTCTAATTTTTGAAATTATTATTATTATGCAATTATAAATAAATTGTATGTTATCTACCTATGTAATGTACACTATCAGTAAATAAATACACTATGGATGTTCTGTTTACCAAGTCTAAAAAAAGCTAAGGCGTCCATTATATTATATAGTCTATGTGAATCACCCCCCTAAAAATAATACTGGTTTGTAACTACTTATTTTGAACTTTCAACTTTTGCAGATGAAAGATTTACTAAATGCCTTTTTTTTTTTGCTGGCATCCGTCCGTCACAATGTGACAATGGAGTGGGCTTCGTAGGACGAAATCCACATAGCCTGGGATTCTTATACTTGAGGGATTATAAGCTGGTTCCCAACAGCAAATCGCCTCTCTCCACGCCGCTGGGTAACCCAAGGGAACATCATTGGATGATACAGCTTGGCACCAGTGACGTCGCAGGAGTTGTCGGAATGTTTCATTGTATCAATGTTATCCGCCTTTCGGGACTCCCGGTTTGATTTCAGAGTTTCCTTCTCTTAGATGAGTTGCCGTCCAAGGTTAACGAGTCCCATCTACCCGGGGTGCTGGTGGTGTTTTTGCTCTAGCTGGGATTGAACTCCAGACCACCAACTTGAGATTTGCTCAGTTTAGACCACTCGGCCACCCAGCACCCTAAAATGCCATTTACTCATTAGTAAAATGAATAGCCATATAACGAGTTTAATTCGTTCCATACTCTTACTCATTAAGGGAAGCACTCATTAAACAAAACAATTTTTACCATACAAATCATTGTAAAATACGATAATGCGTTCCATGCTGAAAAAATACTAATTTTTCACAAATTTTTATTAACATTTATTCAAATAAAATTACTTATGAATTGTTAAGGAGTGTAACAACTTGGAATACAATTTAGATTTGAAACAAAAAACGTAAATAAAAATATGAATTTATGACAAATAATTAATCCTTTTTAACTAGAAAACTGTCTAAAGACCCTTGTTTTTGGCGACGCTTCAAAATTTGACGAAAATGTGTCACAGCATTATCATTGAATAAATTTGTAGCACGAATAGCCACGCTCACACCTTGTTCTCGCTTTTCAATGATTTTACGTTTCATTTCAATAGTTATTTTTTCTCTTTTATGATTGTCTTCTTGTGGTTTTTTTTTTCGAAGACATTTTAGCATAGGTTATTACACTTTGCACATAAAAAAATTATGAATACTGTCTGAATACAAAATTTGTAAAAACTGGTGATCACACACAAAAAAAATACGCTAACAGACCGAGTGCTAAACACAGACAAATGCAATGGTTCTCAACCTTCCTAGTGCCGGGACCCTTTAATACAGTTTCTTGTGTCTTGGCGACCTTCCAGCAACCTAATTATTTTCGTTGCTACTTCATAGCTGTAAGAATATGTGTTTTCAGATAGTCTAAGGCGACCCCTGGGAAAGGGCACACTACCCCCAAGAGGGTCACTACCCACAGATTGAGAACCGCTGGACTAATGCATCGGCGTGGAAGTCCCGGCTCACAAATGAATGTCAAGATAAAGGGACTTCCCCTTTCTGCGTAACTCGTTATGCGAAATATCGCTTGTTAAGGGAGCAACTTCTTCACATTTTTGCTCGTTATGCGAATTACTCGTCATGAGAGAGGCTCGTTATGCGAGGTTCCACTGGATATATATACATATATAAAATAGCCTTTTGTGTTGTGTATTATATTTTACTAAACCAGAGTATGGATAAGTATTTTTTTCTCTGGCATCCATCTCATAACAACCAGGGTCTCACCACATTTCAAAACAGCCAGAGTCTACTCTGTATACAAATAAGTTTTTAAGATTCCCTCTATTTTTTGTATGCATTTTCCTCATAGGCTGGCAGCCTCNACTTCTTCACATTTTTGCTCGTTATGCGAATTACTCGTCATGAGAGAGGCTCGTTATGCGAGGTTCCACTGGATATATATACATATATAAAATAGCCTTTTGTGTTGTGTATTATATTTTACTAAACCAGAGTATGGATAAGTATTTTTTTCTCTGGCATCCATCTCATAACAACCAGGGTCTCACCACATTTCAAAACAGCCAGAGTCTACTCTGTATACAAATAAGTTTTTAAGATTCCCTCTATTTTTTGTATGCATTTTCCTCATAGGCTGGCAGCCTCGGTGGTTTATTTTGGACAATGGAGTCTTATCTTATTACAAGTCACCAGAGGATGTAAACAATGGATGCAAAGGATCCATCAAAATGGCCGTCTGTGACATAGTTGGTGGGTAAAAATGTTGAATATATTTGCTCAGATTTTAAAAATATTGTTGAATAAAGTATAAATTAAGAACTGAGGAGACAGATATAATCAACCATCAGAAAAATTTATTTCATGAATTTTGAATTAGAGAATTTACTGAAAAACTTACAATACATTTAGTAAGCAGAAAACTTGTACTTCTTTTAAAAGTATGTTTATTATTATTTTCTTCCCCACTGTATTACAAAAGTTAGCTGAGATCATAATTAAACTTTAAACCTTTGATGAACAGTTCATCCAGCTGATATGACACGCCTAGACCTCATCATTCCGGGAGAGCAGCACTATTATGTAAGAGCCAGCACCCCACAAGATAGACAGTCTTGGCTTATTGCACTTGGAAGCTCTAAAGCTTCATTTAGTGAAGCAAGTGCCGCCAAAAAGGATGCAGGTAATCTTACCCAATGCCGGCCCCAACAACTGCGGGGCCCTATGCAAAACTGATTGCGCGGGGCCCAGTCTGGGTAGGGATAAGGGTAATAAGTGAAAATTAAGATTTTGTATTAGAAAAAAATGTGCGGGCCCACTTGCGGCCGCATAGGTTGCAGTGGCCTAAGGCCGGCCCTGATCTTACCATCTTTCTTAATTGGATTAAACCTTATAACTTAATTTAAAAAATGTTTAAAAAAAAAAAAAAATTATTGGCTATTGCATAAATGACTAGTTCAGATGTTCGGATGGAACGATAATTCCCTTTCTCCGTGTTGTTGACAGATAGCATTCCAGACCAAATGAGGGCCAAAAAGTCTGAGCTGCGGTTGTACTGTGACCTTCTCATGCAACAAGTTCATTCAATCAAGCAGACTCTCTCAACGGCAGATCAAAAAATGGATTTAGAGGTCACTAACCATTTTTCTCTCCATTTACTCACTTCATTTTAAAAAAATTTGATCTTGATCGTGCCCCGTGAAATTTTTTACCCAAATTTCTAATAATTTTATCATATCATTATCAGATGATAAGTTAATTTTAAGTTTTAGTCTATATGATTACATATTCAAAGCAGCCTCCCGGTGACTATCTTTACTAGATAATGGTAGTTTTTGTGTAACCCATGTTATTAACAGAAGTTGACGGAATCTACCTCACTTATTGGAGCCACCTGTGACACATTCATCGCTACACTAGAGGATTGTATGAAGCTCGTGTCCAATACCCCAATGTTTGAATCACCTCACCAACATGTCCGTGATGCAGCCATCCCAGCATCCCCTACCCGGCCAAACGTTCAAAGATTGCCGGTAATTATTTTCCTTCATTTTCAAATGTTTAAAAGCTTTTAACCCACCAGCAGAGCATTGGTTAATAAGGCTACTCCTTTGACGTTACGGATGGTATAGACGGTCAGACCGTTTGCATATTTTAAATGAGAATCACAAGTTATACGTTTTTTTAGAAGGCCCAGCTCTAGTAAACTAGTTTTACTTTCTTTATATAGATAAAAAATTGAAAATGCAGTGTTTTTATCATTGCTTTAATTTTTGCATCAAGCTGACTTTGTCTGAGGTATTTTCTTATCTCAACGTCATACTCAAAACAAAAAGCCTAATTTATTTGAATTTATTTCTTAATGACAGTTGTTTATAACATAATTGTATTTGCATTCTGATGGTAGTGATGGTAAACCTGGTGGAGCTAGCAGTTCAAATAGTGAAAGTAGGGGAAGAATAGATCTGATCTAGCTCCTGCTTTAGTAGTGATGAATTTGATAGGCATTACATCAAGGAGTTTTTAGGTCATCAAATATTAAAAATAAAACCCCAACTAACTTCACATTTTCTGTTTCTGAAAGTGACCTCTTGCAATCAGTTATCAATTCCCCCAGAAGGCAGGGGAATTAAAATTAAAATAATTTAAAAAAAAATTAAAAATAAAATTAAAAATAAACTCCAGTCCCACCAACTTCCACCATTGGAGCTAAATTCTTCTTCGTCTATATCTTAAGGGCCCACGATCAATTTATTGATCATTTTGGCTCCTATGCATGTAGATGGGATTTGCAATGTTTCTGTTACTGGTGGTGATGAGGAAATCATGCACTAGGGGTTTGAAAGCTGGAGGCAATAGACACAAATGTGTCTAGTGTTGTCGCCTCAACCCTTCCTTTTGAAAGATTGTTCCAGTCCCTGATTGTCTTGGGCAGGAATGAGCAGCTCCTATACTGGCTTCTTGCTGGTAGGAGCCTGAATTGCCTGTCATGGCCTCGTCGCTGTCTATGGGGGAGAGGGACGAGTTTCTGTTTAATACTGGAACAGTGGACCAGCCCATTATTTATCTTGTACATCATGGAGAGCCTGGATTGTCGTCGTCGTTTCTCCAATGGTGACCAGCCTAGTGTTTCTAGCATGCTGCCAACACTAGAGGTATTCCTGTAGCGGTTTAGGACAAAGCGTGCTGCTCGTCGCTGGACCGCCTCCAACCTGTCAATGCTCTTCTGGGTAAATGGGTCCCAGACTGAAGATGCATAATCTAAAATCGGACGGATAAAGGCTTTATATGCTCTTTCTTTCACACAGGAGTTGCCAATCTTTAGATTTCGCCTTAAGAACCCCAAGGCTTGGTTTGCTTGGTTACATACATTGTTAATATGCTCGTCCCAGCGGACCTCTCTTTGAATGGTAACACCCAGGTACTTTACGGAGGAAACTTGCTCAAGAATATGGCCGTGCAGTTTGTATTGGTAGTGTAGAGGAGTACAACTTCTAGAGATTGATAGTGTCTGGCACTTGGCAGGGTGAAATTCCATGTCCCAGCTCATCTCCCACTCAGCTAACAGATTGAGATCCTGTTGTAGCTGGTCCTGGTCAGATCTGTTGGCGATCGTCCTATACACTGCTGTGTCATCTGCGAACAGTCTTGCCTGTGATGTCAGTTTCTCGGGTAGGTCATTAATGTATGCTAGGAACAAACAGGGGCCCAGGACTGATCCCTGGGGGACCCCTGACTTCACATCGACAAAGGAGGAGCTTGTACCGCCCACCACTACTGCTTGGCGTCGGTGGCTGAGGAAGCTAGAGATCCATGTTTTAGTGGTGCCTTGAATCCCATATATCTGGAGTTTGTGTAGAAGCAAACTATGATTCACCCGGTCAAATGCTTTTGCGAAGTCCATTACTAGCACGTCAGTCTGCTTGTGGTTCTCCAGATTGGTCATCAGGTCTTCTACAAATTCGAGAAGCTGGGTCTCACATGATCTATTGACTCGGAAGCCATGTTGACAGTCATTGAGTATATTTTGGCTTTCAAGATGCTTCATGACTGTGCTTACGATTATGTGCTCCAACAGTTTGCAGACCACGCTGGTGAGGGATATCGGACGATAGTTGGCAGGGTCGGAATGCTCCCCTTTCTTGTAAATTGGAGTGACATGCGCTGTTCTCCAGTCTGCTGGAACATTTCCTGTGCATAGTGACGATTGGAAGAGGATTGTCAGTGCAGGAGCGATTTCTTAGGCTAATTCTTTGAGCACTCGTGGTTTGATGTTGTCAGGACCACATGCTTTGTAAGGGTTAATGGTATTGAGGAGGGCAAACAAACCTTGTTCTGATATCTGGATATCTCCTATGACAGGGTAGGCTCTGTTCATCATTTTGGTCTTCAGAAGGAACTCAGTCTCAGAGTACTCTCTACCGTCACCAAAGACCGACTGGAACTGCTGATTGAGTATCCCCGCCTGTGCTTTTGGGTTAGATGTCAATTGGCCATCCCACCTCAAGGGGGAAACTCCAGCGTTTGAAGACTTTTGGTGCTTCACATAGCTCCAGAAGCGCTTGTTCTTGACATCCTTGATCGGGGTGTCTTCCTCTGAGAAGATGTCGTTCATGTAGTTTCAATACGATCTACGCAATAAGCGTTGAATGGTTCGGCGGAGTCTCAGTACCTCATCTCTCAGTTCAATCGAGCCATTTTTCTTCATGCGTTTGTATTGGCGCTCTCTCCTGTGGATGAGAATACGGATTTCAGCCGTGACCCATGGCTGATTTATCCTAGGTTTGGTGATTTTTGTGTGGTATGAATTTCTTCACTGCATCAGTGATTGTAGTCTTAAACTTCACCCACAGCTCTTCTGTTGTCGCTGTACCTTGAATCCCCTGCATGTTTGAGCTTAGCTCTGTGGTTGCAATCCTTAGGCCATCCCAATCTGCCTTGGCATAAATTCTGTTGGCCTTTACATCAGCTAGCCCTTTATCCACTGTAATGTGGCATCGATTCAAACTTAAAGCTTCATTGTGGCTAGTCTAATGGTTGCTTCATATCTCTGACCTTTAAGAACTTCAAAGCAACAGAAATTGCTGTGAACATAGCTTTTGTGAATTCTTTTTACTTGGATTGCTTATTAAGCTGAAGTTATTCAAAAGAGTAACCTAACAATGATGTAAAATTTCTTTGTTACCCTCTTGAAATTTGAAAGGGACAGACCATTATTAACTGTTCTCCCCCCATTTTTTCAC